GTGAAACCCTTGAAAATCATTCTCTTTTTCTTTCTCCTTGATCGTGGATTCTGTGACCTACCACGGTTTTGGATTTTTATGTCCTTACTCACAATATTTGGTCAACTTTACAGTCGGTAGGTCTCTCGCTGTGCAGAGAATTGCTGTTCGAAAGGAAATGAGAAAAACTTTTCATTCATTTTAATTGACCTGATCCTGCTGTTGCTGTTTGGAATGGCTGAGCTTTCACAGCTCTTCCAGAAAGGACTGCTGAGGAGAGAAGGGCTTTGTATCATTAAGAAAAATAAGTGCTGCTTTAAGTTTAGGCTTACCAACATGAGAAGGCAGGCTTTAAACTAGAATTAATGACAAAAGAATGTAAGTTTTATCAGTGGCAAGGTGACCAGAGGCATAGTAACCATGGTTATAGGGTTTTTATAAAAAAGATTGAAGCAATACAGAAAACAGGATAGTGAATATGTCTGCTTAACATCTAAGATGTGCTCTATGGAAACTCAATGGAAGAATGTCCACAGTTCTGTACAAAGTTGTGATTTAGGCAATGTCAGTGTTTCCTTGGGTCCGTTTGTTATTGGATTAATACAGAACAAAAGTGGAGGTGGGTCCTGAAGGAAAAGGGAGGGGAAAATATGTTTCTCTATAAATATTTACCTTTGTATTGAGTCTGGAATATAGAGGGAGAGAATCTGTTAAAAGGATCTTTATGATAATAATAAATTAAAAAAAAAAAAAAAAAAAAGTGAGTGCTATGTTGAGGATCTACCATGAAGACCACCAAGAAGGATGAGATGGAAAGAACATTTTTGTAGACAACTGACAGAATAACTTGCCTTGAGGAGATACTAGTTAACCAAATACTTGTTGGGAAAAATAAATTGAATATAGAGAGTATCCAGGGTATTTTTAGACTAGGGTGGTGTGAGGTTTTGATACAAAAGGTGAAGATTAACACAAGAATTTTCTCACAAGGTTGCCAAGATTTTTAGAATGGGGAAGAATAGAAAAAAAGCAACTACAAGAAATTCAAAGACCTGCTTGCAAAATCCCGTGAAAAAAAAGTCTAAGAAAAAGGTGCTCAGGAGTTTGGCAGTTCATACAAATACATATATATTTGCAGGATATCCTAATATGTAGCAGTGAAAATAAAAGTAATACGTGGTCTTCGATGGTCTTCAAGAAGGAAGTGTAATGGAAATAGCCAGAATTGTCCCTAGAGATGAGTCATCTTGGACTTTTGTGCTTTTTTGGAAAGTCCAAAGCTTAAAAATGAGAGACAAGGAGGAAGAGTTGTCAAAGATAATCAAATAATCCAAAAGTTCCTTGTCGCTTTCTATAGTAAACAGCCAGTCAATTATTGATGTAAGGGAGGGCCAAGGAAAATTTTGGTCCCAGGGAGTAATAAATGATGTCAGCGAACGTATAACGTTTACTTAAAACATCAAAGGCAGCGGGTGGTGGGTAAAGCTCAGGTTACAACAGGGAAGATGTGACTGATAGCTCTTACATAAGCTGCCTGGGTTCAGTGGACTACGCCCACCAGCATTAACACTAAGCCCTCGGAGAAAAAGCTGAGGCCTCCTTGGAGTTATCAGTAACGTTCTGAACTCGGTGTAGTCCCATCACGATCTCGAACTGGGAGCAGCAAAGTAACTTTTAACAAAAAGGCAGCTAAATGATACCCACGAATTATAGGGCACGAAGCTTCACCGTGGTTTCTTAGAAGTTCAGAAGGACATAACCAAACGTGGACTGTATCAAGGAAATGAGAGGGGGAAAAAAAAAAAAAAAAAAAAAAAAAAAAAAAAAAAAAAAAAAAAAGAGAAAAGTCATTACAGACACTGTGGATTACACAAACCTAGTTTCCTTTTTATGGATAGCAACATTTGACACTTGGGTGCCACAAAACAAGGAGTCATAGTCTATATTAAATGATCGTTAGGGAAGTGTAAAGGTGGGTGGAAAGCAGTCCTTGGGGAGCAGCTACCAGCGGCTACTGCTAAACTTGATTTTCATTTCATAATGGGGAGTTTAGGGAAGATCCGGAGGAGAGTGGCCGAAATGGAGGAGCTGCCTAAGAGAGGAGAGGAAAAAAAGGCTCAGACCTTCAGCTTGGAGAGGGGAATGCGTGGTTGATGTTGCTCAAATCCCACAATGAGGAAGTGTAGGAGGCCTTAAAGGAGCTAGTAGGAGATCTCTATAGGGCTGAGAAGTGCTCTTTGTTGTAAGCAGCAACCAGGAAACTTAAGAGCTCAGGGAGTATCAGCAGGCTCAGAAAAGACTTTGTCAAAGTCACGGAGTCTTTCATAGAACGAACTCCGAAGGGAAGAGGCTGTTTCCTCTAGCATCTCTCATCCGGCAGTTCTGTGTGCTCGTGAAGTATGAAAAGTGTAACCTGAAAATAGTAACCGGGCTCTCCCTTAGCGTTTCCTAAAGTCCTGTCGGAGGAAAACCCCTGGGCTGGATGTACTGTTGGTCTCTCATCACCGGGGTGGTTAGGTCCATCGAGGGAGGGTAACATGTAACAGTTCGGTTGCAGCAAGAGGGATTTAGGCTTGTGAAAACCTTTT